ATAAAATACGGGAGATGAGTTTCGAAATAAAAGGTCATCTCTCGTTTATAACCGATGGATTGATTGAGTATTCAAGATCTGTTTGGTCCGTCTCCTCGCAGTTTTGGAGCTTCTGTCGCAAAGATAACATTTCTTGCATCCAATTAATATTCTAAATGACACAATCAATTACTTCAATTAACTTTTAAACAACTGAAGTATTTTTTCATTTTTTATCGATGACTTTTCAACAGTAGGTCCTGCAAATTGTTGGTATTTTCAAATGTGCGCTATGAGGCCTTTCGTTTATTCAGAGTTCAATGCTTGAATTTTGCGCATTCTTCCGTCATTATTATAGACAAATGATTGATGAAGCCATGAAAAAGAAAAAGTTAACACCTGAAGACATGATGAAGGCTGTGGATGGAGGCACCACTGAGGCCACCACAACGACCACAACTGCGGAGCCAACAAGAACCATCATTGCTCGGTACCCGGATCTGATTTTTCATCCGGATGTCACCGATTTGCTCATGCTGATTCTCGGCATACTCTTCTCCATGATTTGTAAGTATCATTCGATATCCAACTAATATATTATCATTCGATCAAAAACGAATTGAAATACAATACATGCGCGCATGAAATCTTCTCACGGAAATGAAATGCATCTGGAAATATTTTCTTCCGAATATATGAGCCAGCAGTAGGCTTAATACATAGGGCTTAATATCAGCCTTGATCAGAAATATTCGAGAAATTCTTTTCTAAAACTCGTTTTTTTCTGGCGTAAGTAGTGCAGTTCTTTCGGGAAATAATCTGTTTTCTAGTTTGAATGAAATCCGTTTTGGATGCATTTCGTAGTATATTCTTTGCGAGTTTTAACTCGATGGAATTTTGTTATAAATGAATCAAAGTGAGTGGCCAAGTTTTAAGTAACGCACGAAGACTTCAGTTTCGATATATTTTGAGTATAGAAAGTAGAGTGGGATTTTGTTCGGGATATTTTAGGCTGGAACAATTTTGATAAGAATTTAATTGAGTGATTTCTGAACATTTATTTTTAAAGATCAATTTACGAATAGAGCTCATGTCCGAAAATTAAGAGCTATATGGTTTATCATCACCAAAGAGATTTTCGTGATTTCAAAATGCAGGCAATGAAAGTTCGTTAATCTTCATTTAAAGTAACATTTTCATTTCCCTTACAGTTTTTCCCGGACTCATCGGATTCCTGGCCAACTTCGTCAACCTGAATCAACTTCCTCTCGTTTTCTTGCCAAGACCAACTCTGCAAGGAAAGAAATGATTGAATTTCCAATTTCGCTGCCTTATAAAATAAAGACTGCATTGTATTTATTGTGTACATAAGAAGACAAGAAAAATAAAAAAAACCTTACGATGACCTCGATCTACGAATCTAGCCTGAATAAATGCTCTTTCCGTTTCCGGAATTCGCGATGAAATGTGTGCTGAATAAAATGTATTGCGTCAGTTACGGTGTACCGTAAATTATAGTTTTCCTGCTTACTTTTTTTACTTGAATCGCATAGTTTCTCTTAAGTGTGTGTGGATACATATTGAAGTGCGTTTACGTATTCAATTTTAGTCAACTGGGCAAAGATTCATAAGGCGTAGTTCCAACTTCAAGGACTCGCTTAAGAATGAGGGGCTGTCGTAAATGTTACATACATTTATTTCTAGAATTATAGGTTGTTTGGTCATAAAAAGGGAAATGTGGGCTTCATGCGTACTTTTGTCGCATTGAGTTCATTTGATGAAGGTCGAAAGGGCATTTGAAGAACGAGCAAGTGTTGTAATTTCGGAAGTTGAAATTATCCTCTAATTTCACGATTACCCATACATTTTAGAGCGTTAACCCGTTTAATATTTGTTTTATGTACATGAAACCTCAGTTCAAGGATGAGCACTTGACTTCCAAAACTGACAAAAGAGTATGTCAGTCGAGGAAAAAGTTCCACCAGAAGAAAATCAGCTCTTCTTTTTCTTCGAAATATTCCTTCCCGCCAACACAAGTTCCTTTCCATGAATTCTAAAATTGGTCTTCACGTGCTGCATGTGCTGGATTAATTTTTACAGCGTCATTTTTGATATTTCGTAGAGAGAATTTGACTGAAATTTGTATCAAGTATACTGGATAAGAAGTAATGCCAAACTGCATTCTTGTACTGTACTTCAAAGCGTGTATACTGTACCCAGATTGTAAGTGTCAACATGCTCTTTACATTGAAATTAAATTAATCATGCCCTATGGCGGTGACATCTACGAAACACAGGAGAATTACTTTCATCATGCTGGGTGTACCGTTGAGTTTGATTAGGTTGTTTGTCAAGTTAATAAAATGTAAAAATATTAATATTAATTAGCTTCGTTTCCTTATTATTCTCGTATATGTGTCTTTGATTCAAGAATCCCTCTTAATCAGCCCCAAATCGTATGAGATTTGGGGCTGATTATTTTACTTGAATTCTCTTGGATGTCAGCATTAACCTGAGTGCATCGAAGATTTTTTTTAAATCAAAATAATTATGCAGATTTCATCGGGCACCAGTGATTCAGCGATGATAGCAACAATGGAATTATGCTGAACTTGACATAATCACGTCAGTATTCCCATTTTACTGAAAACATATTCCGGAAACAAGAGTTATGATACATCTTGAAACTCGTCAGATTCTCACATTTGAATTTTTTGACAATAATCATAGCCCACAATGTGAATGCTATGGAAACGGGTTGAGAACATCTGATATTTTTCGTGAATCATGTTTATGATCAATAGTTATGTGTATTTTTTTAATTTAATAATTTAACTTTCAGTTTAATTTTTAATTTAATTTTAATTTGATTTTTAATTTGATTTTTTTGTTTATTTTTTAATTAAATTTTTAATTATTTTTTTATGATGTTCGGAACTCAGTGTTGAACCTTTTTTCAGCAGTTGTCCTTTCTTGTGCTGCTGGGAGCAAACGTTCATTCATCAATGACCCCACCTTGCGCTAGACATCAGCGAGGCCCTCGACTTCACTATTTCTTTTGTGCAACGTTAATGATGCTGATCGACTTCCGGCACTTTTCCCTCTCTTTCTTTCTCGAATGAGTCTTCATCATTCTCGAAATAGAATTTTTTTAGAGGTTTGCAAAATAATTTGAATTCTTTGCATTTTCGTTTTCTTGGTTGTGAACCCAAAATGCTGAAATTATTTTTTTAAGCCCGCATGGAAGTTGTTCTGATTCTAATTTCGAGACGTGCATGTCCTTCAACAGACAGAAAGGAAAATGAATCAATCAAATATCCAGGCTGCGAACTTCTCGAGCTAGCATAGTATAACAAAAAAAAAGTCTATTGTGAACTTATTGGAATGGAAAAAACGACGAAAATTGATTATCAGTCTGCGCGAAAGCATGGCATAGGAAAAAACAAATTTTGCTGAATTTTAATGTAATTTCATAGTTTCAATTCATTTTCATAGTACTGTACTGTACAGTACAATGAAAGAGATGTTTAGAATTTCTCATAAATCTGGGTTAAAGTATCAAACAAAAAACGTTCTTTTCCCTTTTTAGATAATTTCAATCGTGGTTTGCTCAAATTTTTTTTATAAAGAATAGAAACCATGGACATATTTCTGATCAACTTGAGATTAATTAGGATGGCACAGCGAAATCACTCATGTTTCATCTTTATGTACAGTAGTTTCGAAATTTCAATTGTCCTTTGCATAATGTGAAGAATGGAAAGCTCTTTGGAAATGGTTTATCAATCCAAGCTCAAAAATTTAAAAATGCATCCGTCAAAACAGACCTCCATTGTATATAAAATTGTAATTGTCATTTGCTCATCAAAATTACAAAGAAAGCATACCAACGATTTCTGAACAATCTGAGCTTGAATATTTGGGAAACCCCCTTATTGTCTCATTTCCACACTACTGCATTTAAAATTTCAAATAATTTTTAAAATTGCTGAAAAATTCTGATCAAATTGAGCTTAAATGTCAAAAAAATTCCTAGAAAAGATTCTTCTGTACTCCAAGTATTTTAAGTTTAATGAATACTTCGTGGAAAATTGCTGCTTATCCTGAGCTCAAACATTTCGTACACAATAAACTTTTTGAAATCATTTCCGCATAATTTCAGAATTCCAACCGCCGTTTTTTTTCAAGTATTGTACATTGAATGAGTACTTCGTGGAAATTTGCTCTTTAATCTGATATGAGCTCAAATTTCGAAAATAACCTTTTTTAAAGATCATTCCCACATAATTTTAAAATTCCAACTGCCGTTTTCTCAATAGTTCACGTTGCGAGCACGGAAACTTCGTGGAAAGCTGCTAATATGAAACTGAGCTGAAATGTCGCACGCAAAAAATAAAAATAAATAAAACCCCTTCTACCATCATTTTCGCATGATTCTAAAATTTCAAATGTCCTTTACTATTCAATCCATTGAATGGGCATCTCGTCGTGGAAGATTGCTCAACAAGCACGCCCAAGATGCGGAGTGTGTGGATCCCAGCTCGCGGCACTGTTGGTCATCAAAGTGCAGCGAACTCGGCAATTCCAAGGTCTCGCCGTCTGGTCCGACACCCCTGCGCTTCGTTTTCTTCCGCGTCCCAAAACAAAATAGCCTGGAGCAAAAAGCGTTCTCCTTTCGTCTTCTTTCTTTCATTTCCACACGCTGAGTAAGTTCATCTTGGCATTTTCCATCATTCAATTGTGTAAAGCTGGTCACGAGTCGGTATAAAGCCAAGTCGAAATTCCTCGAAATACTCGAAATAATGAAGATTTTAAAAAAGAAGGGTTGGATTTTAGAATCCAACAGGGCATGCGATGTTGAGAAATAATAATTACTGCTATATCCCATGCAGGACATGTAATGATCCCCTCGGATTTTGTAATGGAATATAAAATCATCTGATTTTGTATGATACTTTACATAGATTGAAAACAACCTCTTGCTTCAATCCAGGTGTTCCAAATTATGCGTTATATCGGAAGCAATCGACGTGAAACAATATTTACAATTTTCATATACATAGGCAGAATTTTTAAATTTGTTTCTTCTCTAATGCCAATCAAATCGAGTCATCCTGAAGATTGTTCCATTTACTCTTTTTTCTCCTCATCAGCTTAAGTTTTCATTAAAAGAAAAATCTACCTTTTTCAACAACAAAATGTCCATTTCATCGGAGGAAATAAATCTGCTGAAAATTCATGAACTGTAGCAATGAAACAGTGAATGTTTTTATTCGCGCCCATTTATTCAACTGCATGTCTTCGTTCTGTGTGATATAGATTTAGAAAAACAAATGGAACGTTAAAAAAACAGCTAATCAACTATTACTCAAAAAGAAAAATCAGGTCCATCGATCCAACGAACCAACCCCCGCATTCTGAGTCAACTAACGTCAAAAAAATAGTACTTTTCTGAAGAAACGTGGTCCTCAACCCATTTCCCGATCTGTCACATCCCCGCTTTTATCCAGCATCGTTCCTCACAGACTTTCAAATAGGTCTTGAAACGTGAAATTAGACTCTCTATATTCACATCAGATGCACTCAGTTCTCTGAAGGAATATTTTGTGGGAAACCGATGGCTCATGATTGCAGCTTGGCGTGCAGCGTGATAAGCCATAAGTTGGTTGGGTTGAAGGCCCTCTTCAGAGCTCGTGTGTCCGTGAAAACGATGAGGAGCAAAATTGATCGGATTAATCATTAAGTCCCTGAAAAATAAAATACAGCTGAGGCAGAAATGAAAGAGAAACACATGCTAAAACGGCTGATGTAAGTAAGGATGAGGCATTCTTGGTCATCAAATTTGTAAATATTCAGGATACTTGCCGAACGTGACGCACAAAAATGTCCACCGTCTTCGAAAAATCTCATTTCAATGAAGAAAAAAAAACAGTAGTACAACTGCAGAAAACGGGTAAATTTCAGCAACTCAATTATCCGGAATTAGCCTTGACTCAGATATTCTTCCCGATTTTCTAAAAGATCAAACGTGGGAGAACTTTCCCTCTCTAAATTTTTTTTTTTGAAAAAGACGAAAAGGGAGCAGAGAGAATGAAGGTTATCCCTGATCAAACCCGAGGATGAAACTGCGCAGTTTGTGCGCCGTAAATCTACGTCACCTTAATAACAGAAGGCCTATTGAAACTTCTTTTTTTCTTTTTTTGCTGTGAAGAACATATATTTCAACAAAGGGTTAATTTCCTGTCGCATTTCACGGCCTCCTAAATGCGGTTTGTTCCCCGCAGCCATCCTCGATTGCCCGACTCGGATTGCTGTGGCGTAATTCGAAAGCGCTGTCCGAAAGCTTCGAAATTTCAAATCATTAATATAAATAAGTACTCAATGTTTCTCTAATAATCCGTCCATCAGTCAGCAAGTAAATCATTGGATACACGAAACACACAACGTCATGTCACCTTTTATTTTAACGCATTTCTTTGTTGAGACATTACTGGTTTTTTGGAACGAATGTGCGCTTTCGATCAAAATTCACGTCATACTCCATGTCTCTGAATTTTAAACGATTTATTCTTCATCACGCACTGCATGTCATTCATGAATTTTAAAAATCACCGATATCATCTACAGAAGTCTCTTTTTTTTAAACAATAAAAATGGTTTGCTATACGGTTATAGCTGACTTTTAGAAACTTTCTTAACACCTTATCGAGAGAATGCTATGCTTTTGTCATTGATGGAAAATGTTTTAATTTATCCTCTCACGCGGCGTAAAAATGCAATCGTAAATTCTTGGGGGGGGGGGAAAGCAGAAACCCGAAGTACAATATAATAAATTACTCATAATAATCAAATTGATGTTCGGCGTCGCTATATAGCTGCAATAGAAATATTTAAAATTGCGCATGCAGAAGTGCACAAACCTTTGATATTTCATTTTTACTGTACAGCAGTGGTTATTGATCAGTTTTCAAAAGGATAAAATTTAAACCTCGTACTCAGCAAGCTGAGCAGCAAAAAAATAAATAAATAAAATAAACGCAGAATACATAAATCATGCCAGCACCCGATGGGCCCCCCGGGAACTGAAGCAGTATAGATTGCGGAATTAACTTTTGGAACAGGCCCTTCCCGGATCCTTGAAACGCTCCGAAAAGGATTTCCTTGGTTCCCCCGCCCGCCGTATATGAATCAAGCCGCGGAGAACGTTGATGCCCCGAGGGCAAAAAAAAAAAAAGAAAAAAATTTAAATTCGAATGGTTTGCAGGTTGGCTGATTCCCAGCACTGCAGGCGGGTTCGGTCGCTTCATCGGCGCTTTTCCTCGACTGATTGTTGTCTGATGCTGGTTGGCCTCAGTTCGTCCGGGCTTTAAAAGTCGGGCGTCGAGGCGCTCAGATTCGTCAGTTGATCGCTAGCCTGCTGGTCGAGTGCATTAAGATTTACACATTTTTTTGCAGCCCTGCAGTTGGAGCAGAAACTTATCGACACAATGAAGTTCGCTGTGAGTTTCATGCTTTCCAGCTTCCACGAGTGAAACAGTGCATTGTTCTTAAGACCTCCTCTTCCCCCCAAAGTGATGAAGGCGTCAACATTTTTAAGAATGCGAGCGGGTTCGATCGCTTTACACGGACGTTCAGAATCAAGAGAAAAAAAAAAATTACTATACGTTATAGAAGAGTCCAATGAGTTTTTAAGTTAAATTCAAGGATGATGTACGAATCAGTTATAGATAATTATCAGTGCGCAAATTCCCCCGAAGAGTCTCCGAAGACTTTCAAAAATTATACTTTGTTTAAATAGCTCAGAAAACTAAGGATTGCATTTTTTCCAATCATTAAATCAAAAGAAAATACGAAGCATGATAACTGGTATTATTTTACTTGATTGTTTCAAATTCTAGAAAATCAGGCATTTATTTCTGGAAACCCTGAATATGGGCGCTATACAGCATATTGTAAAAATTATATATAAACAAGTTACACTTTTTCGATCATCAATGCGATAAAAGTCTAATTATTCGGCCAAAATACGTGTTCAGCAGTACGTGATAGAAAACTAGATGGGCAACATGACCGTAATTAGAGCTGTTTGTTCTGCGGTTAACTACAATAATTATCCTGGCTGACGAACTTGTCAAAACATTTACCAATTTTTTTCTCTGTGACGATGGGTGATTCTTGAATTTTCTCGAAAAACATGTCATCGTTGCATAAAATTTTTAAATTTATAATTCCAGATGAGGTGAGGGGTCATTAATTAGAACAAATGAGTTATTCGTAGTTCTACAGCACTTCGTTATATAGCTGATCGATGACATCAAAGGGAAATAAATTACAGTACCTTAATAGCTAAAAGGCTCGGACATTTACGACTACAATTCCATTATTGAAAAGAAATTCACAAGATGAGAAGGCAAATGACGCATTATTATAATTTTTATTCATTTATTTTTTGAATATTGTTGCTGCAGATTTTGTTCGCCACATTGATCGCCGTTTCGGCAGCAAATTTGGCGCCATACGCAATTAACCCAACCTTCTACAACGCACCTTTCGCCTACGGCTACAATAATGGACCCTATGCCTACGGCTACAACTATGGCTACCCAGCAAATTTCGGCTACTCCTACGGCTACAACACATTCGCTGGCGCCCCGGTCGTGGCGCCTGCCGCTGCCGTGATCGCCAAGGAAGCCGCTCCTGTGCTTAAACCCGTGGCCTACGCCGCGGCGTACCCGGCCTACGGGGCTCAATACCAAAACCAATTCCGCAGCCAGGACGCCTTCGGTAACTACGCCTTCGGGTATCAGGGCGACACTTCCGCCAGGCAAGAGGTCAGCAACGGCGGAGTCACCCAGGGATCGTTCTCCTACGTCGATGCCAACAATCAGGTTTGGAAAGCAATATAATTCATTTATTTATGGAATCTTTTTGTTTTTGAAAAGAGCTCAAAAACAAAAAGCGGATTGTCGAAATTTATTTCCAGTGTCAACAAGACGTAACTGAAGCGTGAAAAACCAATGAGTGTTATGCCAACGACGAACTTTTCGAATTATTTGCTTTTCACTTAGAAAATTTACTGATGTATTAATTTCAGGACATAAAAAGATTTTTAAAAATGATTTTCATGCTTGCTGAAGAAGCAAAGATTGTATTTTAGAAATTTAAGAGTATACCTGTGCGTTGAATGCAGGGCGAACATTATTCTGCAAGTGAAACATTTATATAAAAACGAATGTAAACTCGGCTTGAAATTTTAAGCTAATGCTTATTGCTGACCCAACTATTCTACACGAATGAATTAATGTATAATAGGAATAATTTTCCCCTACATTTTCCCACAAAAGCGTCGTTCGTTGCGAGGACTTTTTAAAGCTTTTCAAAACTTTGTATGCATATATTAATTTCTTTAAAGTGAATGGTGAAAATCAAGCTCGTGTGCTCATGAGCTAAAAATAGTTTCCAAAATTTGTTCAAATCGATTTACTGATAAATTTTTGCGACAAATAAAATATTATTTTAGTTGTATGCAATATCGATTGTATACTTCACAATATCGGAAATAAAATGCCGTCTAGCATAATAATAGACTCACTCGGTCGTTGCTTTGTGTGTGTGTGTGTGTGTGTGTGTTTCAAATTGCAATTTGAATAATGGATTCTTCTTCAAATTTAAAAATAAAATCATAAAATGAATGATTTCTTTTATTCATACAGGTTCAATCTAGGTCCTACGTCGCTGACGCTTTGGGCTTCCGCGTCGCCGGCACTGACGTCCCAGCGGCACCGGTTCCCGTCGTTGCCCCCGTCGCCGTCGGCTACGCTGCCGCCCCGGTCCCCGTCGCCGCCCCCGCCGTCGTCGTGAAGGCCGCCTACGAAGGCGGACCTGGCTACGTGCCGGTCGAAGGCATTGACGTCCCATTCAAGACCCCAGAGGTGAAGGCCGCCGAAGCCGAGCACTTCGCTGCCCACGCTGCGGCTCTCGTCAGGCAAAAGCGCGAGGCCCTGCCCTCGGGCTACAAGAGCAGCAGGAACTCGTATCCCATCCGCTCCGTCGCTGTCCCTGCTCGCCAGTCTCACGGTCAGAAATACGCCAAGAAGTCACATGCCGTCAGCAAGTCTTACAGTAACAAGAAGGTACGTTTCGGATTCTGACCGAGCACTCATCGTGATCAAATTAATTCAACAATTCAAGAACTATTGATCTTTCAGAAGAAAACAATGATAATAATGTGAAATCCATGTTACGTACTCGTGGAATATACAAACTAGTCATTCTACTGAAATATAGCCCAAACTTAGACTGAGCGACTTGTTATCCAGTCATTTGATCAAGCAGCACGAGAGTAAAATTGAAGTCTGAAATTAGAGTGAAAATTGTGCCAATTCAAGCAATTTATCTTAATTATTCCCACGAGGGTTTAATGAGCTTCAGAAAGTTTGTCAATCAGTGATGGGATGCAATTTCTAGGGTATTTCCTGCAAATTCCGTCAGCTGCAAATTTTTTATCATTTTTATGGCAGGCATATCTTGAAATCAATTCAAATCAGAGTTATCAGTATTATCACACGTTAAGATCAAGTGGAAATATCCGAATACTGTAAATTGATAGAATGTTCCGAGTAAAAGTTTACGCAGCGTTTCCTCTCATAAAAAATACTGATATCTTGTTGCAACTCATAATGAACACATCCCTATAGATTTTAGCTTTTTATATTTTGAAATCTTCGTGGGACATCTCTTGAATTTTTCAATCAAACCAGACATGAACAAATTGGAAATTTTAAGGAGCAATAATTTATCCGAAAACTTTCGGATAAATTATCGGATAAATCGGATCGGATAAATGTATATCCAAAAACTTTCGGAATACCGAATTATTTTTTTAACCTTCTTACGTTAATAAGATGTGACTTGAACCCGCGCTAAACGCCCAACGCTCTTAGCAATAATTTACCTGTTATTTTTCAATGCATTTTCCGAGGGATTTCATCTTGATCTTTAAAAATATATTCTGTTTCTTTTGAAGGTGTGGAAGCGTGAGGCTGATCCTGAGCCCAGGAAGGGCCTGACCCACGGTTCCTCAAGCCGCAGTTATGGCCACCACCAGCGTTCCTACCAAAAGAAACACTCCTACAAGAAGTGGTAAATCAAACAAATCCATCTCAAGAAAACGAAGAAAAAAATTAGTCGAGTCAGATTGAAAGAAAAGACACACACACAAAAAAAGAAGTACGAAATTGGCAGTATTAACGGGAACAACATCCGAGTGATCTTGCAATAATACAGAAACTACGTATTTCGGACGCGACTATATATACATCACATGCTCGTCTGTGTTTTGTTAACGTCGTCGGTGTGATAATGTTGTTCTTGTCCGGAACAAACTGTCATAATTGTTAGAGACGTGATCATCGTGGTTTTTGTTTTTTGTCGACCTGCTGCACTGGATTTATTTTTTTTTCTCGCACAAAACTCGTATAGAAGCAGATTTTTTTTCTCTCCTTGTTTTGTCAAGGGATCGAGTTTTAATTAGTTGCACTGAACGCTTTCGCGGTTTGACACCGCGGCGTGTGTAGACGTCGGTTTAATCGGTGTTTGGGATGGTCATTAGTATTATTATTTTATTTGTTTTGTAGCGTGGCACGATCATGAACTCATTTCTTAGTTGGCATTCCAAGATTTTGGCGAATATACAAAGCATTGATCTTTCCTTTTTATAACGGGACAAATACATGTTACTGTTTGTCAGTTTTTTGTCGCTTATGTGGCCGGGAGTGATTTAATTTCAGAGCACAATTTTGCATGTTTCTGGAGGAAAATATACGTCGAAGTCCAGGAATTTGCTTCTTCATTCCACAGTTCCTTCGTAATGATTTTGGACGTCTTTCTGTTGGTGGAAGTAGACCATCATTTATTTTCTATAATAACAGGACGCATAATTACTGCCCGAGTTAACATTTTCATAAATCATTTGTATCCTTTGGTGAATCGTTTTAGTTAGTTTGGCTGATAACTTTCCGAAAAAATGTTCCATATGGTTCATGAGAAAATTGACGCATGAAACTGAATTTATTCCAACTATGATTTGTGAATACTGTAGATATATTCTTTGAATTTGAAGAGCATTTGATCTTAAAAAGCATTATGCGTCGATTTGGATTACCTCTTGGTATAAATTTGGGTTGTATTGCAAAAGATTGATATTATCAAGACAAGCAAAGTCATTTTTAACGGAAGCCATCGTCAGAGAAAAAAACGGTTCAGAAGACGAATGCTATACTAAAAAACAAGTGTTTTCTTAGTGGTTCAGTTGACACGTACCTTCCAATTTTTTAAAGCATAATTTAGCAAGGTTTTCAGCAGAATTCAAGTTCTGTGTTGTGTTATTTCTTTCGAGGGATATCCAGATTCTATTATATCAATATGAACACTGCTGGAAAATGTGTGAAGGCAGAATATTGCTGTTTCAATTACTTTCAATATACAGAAGACGTTTTAAAAAGGGTGTACTGAGGAAATGTTCACATTTAAAAACTGGGTTTAAAGTGAATACATTTCTCGCTAAGATCACCAGCAAAAGCGGTCAACTTTCATTCATTTATATGCATGCCAATAAATCAAGATCTATGTAGAGCTAAATCAGCTAAAGGAAAAAAATACGTTTCCGCAAAATTTCGGAAAAATCAATTTTCAGCGTTGCCTCCATCAGTACTTCATTCGCATCAGAGGTACAGTAATTTGCCGACTACCAAGGTACCCCAGCCACGTCTCGAATCCAGGGCATAACGGAAGTCAATCTGACGTAAACTCCGAAGTATCCGGGGGCTCCACAATGCTTTCCTCCCCATGAAACAATGCCAACTTGCACCAGGTTGTTCCTGGTGTCCATGCACAACAATGGGCCTCCGCTGTCCCCCTGGACGATGTGCGATAATTTTTATAAATATAAATTCATCCAAGAATTCTTGATACGATCTCTGAAACCGGGTACACTCTTGAAATACATTGTAAGGGATAGGTGGCGCAAGCCGCCTCTCCCGTCCGTCGCCCGCAGAAAAACTCCAAGTTGGAATTCCAGTGTGGAATTCCAATTGTCTCGCCATTTTTCCCCTCTCACTAATTTACATTACAGTCTCAATTCACCTCGCGAAGTGCAAACATCTCATTTTATCAGTGTTGATTATTGTTCTGAAATACATCTCAAATCACTTTTCTTTTGGAGACCTCACCGAAAGGCTCCCTGCCGAGTCCCCGGCGGCGTACGTGTTTTATTCATATCAATTTTACCTTTCAGCCTAATTTATCATCTAATTATTTGTCTTTGTGGTCGATGCACCACAAAAGTGGTAGCAGAGCGCAGAGTTAACGAGATACAAAGTAGAAGATTTTTTCTCTCTTCTCCCTCGAAAAGATTACAAAATTAAAGCAATAAAAGCAAAAAGAAAACCAAAAAGTAGTATCAGAATATCTAGAAAAAATTTCGGCTTACAAATTCAGTAAAAGCAATTGTAAAATTCACGAAAATCAAAAAATAGTAGAACCTCCCCCAGCAAAATCTAAAAATAAAAATTTTTACGAAAAAGTGCGCAGCGCAGAAGTGAATCCATCGAAGCAAACGCAACGAATTGTCAAGACACGAAGGCATCATGGTGAGGGGAAGGCCACCAACCCGCAACAGGGGGGAAAACGAACCCCCCAACGTGAGTCGAAACAAAATGCCCGATGAAATATCAAATAATCCAGAACCCATCAAAAATCCGCCAGATCCTATAGAAACAAATTCAAACGCAGAAATCCCTACTAACTCAGAGAACCAGATGCATACGGAAAATCAAGCAATTACAATTTTCATGTAACTAAATTTAAAATGAGGCATTTTAGATATTAAATATATTTGGAGAAATCCTCCGCGTCATTTCTTACTTAATTGTTGCCAAATACTCGAAAAGGGAGCCAGCCCTCTGCCATTAATGTGAATCAAATAGTTTCTTTTCCTTGAAAAACTGTGCGATGATTTTCGAATTTCCTCATCATAATTAAATAGGGTCCCTCTTAATCATGAAAGGATGTTCTCGTCAGTTTTGAGACGCTCAGTTTTACTTATAGATGTACATTATATGCATTTATTCTGACTGAAATCTTTCTTTCACCAGTAGATTGGGAAATTAGATTCCTCGAGATAGAAATCTACTCAGAAAATCCTGTTATCAGATTGTTTCAGGTATTTTATTCGTAAATCATCGTCGTGAATTCCGTTTGAAAATACTGTACAATAATTGCGCGCGTAAATAGTAAGACTCGTAACTTTTAATTTTTTTTATTTGCTATCTTGCCGTATGTCTCTATATTCTTGAATATAAATTATCCCTGATCAATCATGTCATAGAATACCTGGGCTCGAAGATGTTTTATACTGGATTTTTTTTTCAAACTCAAGGACAGAGCCAAAAATAAAGCACCGAAGGATATCATACTTCGGTGCATTATGTTTTTTTTTTTTTTAAGACTCACGGTGCATGAATCGGGTCCACCCTGAGGCAAACCAGCACAAAGCATAGAGTGGTCAATGAGTCCGGGATACGCAGCCTGGCACTCGGAAAATCCTACAATCGGTACTACAGCGAATCTCAGTTTATCAGGATAGTGTTGATGTGTGTCTCCGTCTGTTGCTCCCCAGCCAACCACCAAACACCGCTTTGAGTCTGCCTAGATGGATGAAGGAAACCACATTTATCTCTGGGTAATTTGCCGTTTTATTTTGCAGATATTTCGATAGTCATTAACCCTAGGACGGCGGAGGGTTCTTCGCCATTGCGGGATAGAGTCAGATTATTTTTGTATCCTCCCGCACTTCCAGTTTTTTGAGGACCAGGAAAACCCTTGCAGATGGGCTGAGGTGAAGTCTGGATTAATCTGAGAAAAGCCTGTGGCTTAACTGAGCTTTTTTTTTTATGCTAAAAAACATTGGGATTTTTCCGGACTTCGCCCTCGATCCCCAGCTGTTATCATTTTTTTCTTCACCTCTCTGAGGTGCAACAAAATTTCGCGAAAATTGTCCAACTTCGCCGCCCAAGGGTAGAAGCAATAACACTTTTTTAAGGCACCCTACTCAACATAAGTCTCGCAAAATCTCGATCGTTTCAGAAATGAAATTGCGTGCTAATAACTTGCTGATGAGTGACCAACTTTTCCTTCATTGGGGGGGGGGGGGGGGGGGGCAAAAAAAAAAAAACCT